CCCAACTCAATATTCTCTTTATGACCCACAATATAGGTAACAGCTTACTTTCTATATGGAGTCCATCAGTAAGTCAGAGTCGTATGGAATTGTGTTGGCTGTCACCTGCAGTGTGGCTGGGAGTACGATCTCTTATTGCTTGCTACGACGATGTTCTTGAATATTCATAGAAATTCCACCCTTGCAGCTACAATGAGGCGCTGCATAAATCATAATGCTCAGCCCGTAAAACAAAATCCATCGTGTCCTCAGTGGATCAGGGACATGATCCTTTTCAAATCCTGGAATGCTGTTCGTCGCCAATCGATAACTTATGTTCAAAGGAATATTCGTATTCACTCCAGCCAAACATGGAAAAGGCCCATATTCAGGATTATCTTACTTGATGATCAGTGGGCTCCGATGTATCGTGCATTCTTTCAAAGCATCTATTTGGGTACACAAGCCGCTTGTCCATCAACTCCACTACCCAACCGCGCAGATACAGTACAATCTTATTTTCCCCTGAAGCAGCCTCAAGCCCAGACTTAGTTGCCTATTGGTTAAGAAAGAAAGGGGTGGGGGACCATATTTAGTCGGCTGTCGATTGACTAGCCGTATTCTGTTGACGAGAGCGAGCTTTTTTCTTGGCGATATTTTCCTTTGCCAATAGGGGGACTGATCGCCGCCTGGGCCGCCTTATTTGAGAACAGCCTCCATATCTTATCTCAGCTTGAGGCGCGTGTCTCAGTAAGCCTGATGGCGTATCGCATATACAACTAGTTACATAATACAATCATTTGGATATGGGTGTTATTAAGTAGCACATGCAATAGATAGTAGAGAATAGTCCTTAACCTTGCTCTAGTTCTCACCAGTTGTTAAGATTTCCAAATCTGGATTGACAAGTCAGCAGCCCACGAATCCACCCAAATGAAACAGAAAGTCAAAAAATGCTCGCTCTCGTCGACAGAATACGGCTAGTCAATCGACAATATCACTGGCAAGCATAGCTCCCATTCGGTTTCTAAACTGATCAGACCCTGCTCTAAGGTAGCTTTGGGGGTCAAATAAGACTGTGCATAGTACGCATAATTCAGCAACGGAGGCTGTGGGGAGGTGGCCTGAAATGCACACAGATCTCACTGATCACCAAGGAAAGGAGGCGTGAATATTGGTCTCCTGTCATCCATTGGCTGGCGCGAATGCAAAGAACATTTTCTATTAAAACTCTTCAATCAATTATCAGCCAAGAGTATCATGTCAAAATTCAAAGAAGGATCCTATGATCTTGCCTTACAAGTGGAGTGTTATTATCTATGCAGCGTCTTATGATGGATCGAAGGATGGAATTGCTTTAGATGATCTTAGGCACCATAGCAAACGACGAGGTGACTTAATTGTGGCTATACTGTAAGATCTGTATTGAAAGTAAGCTCGTATAGAGAAAAGATAGACACTGTCCTCGCTAGGGAGGTTTGTACGAAGTACCGAATGTAGAAGAGGGGAACTTAAACAATGACTACATATGTAGCTTCGGATTCAGGTATATTAAGCTTCTCTGAGCAGCTTCCAGAACTTTAATCTACATCCAAAATAGATTTGAACATATAGATTATTACCAGCCTCCTCTGTTATCCACGAACCACAACTCACAACTTAAAAGGTTCTTAACTTCACAAAAGTAAAGAACTTCTCGTAAGTGCAAAGCCTACTATCTTCCCCTTCAACTAGCTTGTCTCTTTATGACCAAGCTAGTATTGCACCAGATAACATACCTGAACCATGTTTGGAATAGCACTAACCTATAACAGAACTTGTTCCAGACAACATGCAGTTCACATCGTACCTCGCCATCTTCTCCAGCCTTCTGGCTCCTCTCATAACCGCTGCTCCAGCAGAGGTCAATACACGGGCTTGCTCCTGTACCCACAACAACGATGCAGGCCGCTGGAAAGACGTGCATGACCCCCGTGGTGCTTTGGACACAATTAATCTGGATATTGACGGCAAGCGGAAATGCTACTCAGCAGTTACGCAGGGAATCATGTGTCTCGAGGGAGATGTAACACAGCAGAGTTGCATGAAGGATGCAGTTAAACAATTGCAGTCCTACCACGGTGATTGGTTCATTTGGACACGTGTCGACTGTGGTGCCCTACGGATGACAATCCAAGCCAACTAGACGAGCTTTGCTTATAGAGAGGTGTTTTGGCAAAGGGGTCGGGTCGGGACCTACCAAGTGACTAGGAGAAGTGTATTCATTTTCAGCAACATTCACTTATTTGTATTACTGGTTCAACAGATAAGCATTCATGCATAAATCATATGGACTTTAGGATAGAGTTTGAGACAATTCATAGCGGGGCGCCATCGCTCGGAAACACAACGTGGAGTCGCAATAGTAGATGTGCAATAAGAGGAGCGTATTCCTATTCAATTCGGGATAGCACGCCGGCCGTATCTGTGGTACATACCGTGCGACTTCCATGTTATCTTCTAACAGGATGTAGGGCTGTCTATAGAGAGCCTGTGAAAGGTAGGAATCACTCAGACTCGGTCACCCAATAACGAGCCATGGGTCTCTCCTACAATTAAGGCGCGACGCCAGCTTCTAGCCACAAGCGCAAGCGTAACTACGAGCACCACCACCATCATCGTAACCTAGCCGAGAGACAATCAGTTTCTAGCAATTCCTCATACTATTCAACTTCAAACACCAGCAGGCCCATCCCGCCGTCATCAGCCTTCATCGGCCTCGCTAACGACACCGATAGGTAGGAGGGCAACAGCGAAGAAGAACGTCTCGCCGCCGAGACACCAAAGAAGAAGAAGACAGTTACGCAGGAAAAGTGCCTCAGAAAGTTCGTTCATACCCCGGCCCAGCTTCAATTAATCACGTACAGTCGGTCTGCTAACGCGATTTACCTCGCGGCCTCAGGTATCAGTCCAAAACGCCGCAAAGCTTCGGCGACATCTTCCTCTCGCCACCACGCAGTTCTCGGATACGACGTGAGACGCCCTCATGCACCGAAGAGCTGGCCAAACTCGCTGGCGGCCAAGTCTCAACATCGCATCTTATAGACGCGTTTTCGTCGGCTAATACACAACCCAGCGTTGTACGATGCTGACCTATACATAACCTCAGCAGTGGAAGCAGTCATGTCGGCTTATATGACAGTTGCAGGCATGCTGTCTATTGTGATTGGGCGGCAACATGCGCGCGACAGAGCAGTGGCATTCAGGTGAACTCGGCAGCATCAGGCTGGCATCTAGTGAATAATTATCTCTTCTACCGTAATAAGCCGACACACCACTCGCTAGGCTCTTGACACCAGAAATCTTCTCACTGACTCCAGTGGAAAGGCTCGGCGCCATATCAGCACCACATCTCGGTCCGTGTCATCGACATCCAAATACTCTGGTTCGGATATTCATCCAAAATCAAAGCCACGTAGCGGTACCAGTCATCAATCCAATCACCGACAGCAAACATGGATGTCGAATACCCCCAGTAGATTAAGCTAGTCTACTATATCTAAACTAAGCCTCTCTATGGGACTGAAAATCTCTCTATTATCCTTAAAGTACTAGAGGGTATATGACAGATACTACTAGAGGACTGGTTGGCTGAGTATTGCTATGACTTGTCATGTTTCCTTCTACAGGAAATATTAGAGCTATAGATGTAGATATTAATACTGAAAGTATAGAGCATATATAGTGGAATAGTATATACTGTAGTAATGGGAATAAGGCACTATGACATCTCAGTATTCCAACAGTATCGGTCCTAATAGATATGATATAGGCTAATTAGATGCTAGTTAACTTGATATTTGCTGGGAAGGCTTATGATAATGTGAACCTACTAAAGTGAGCAAAAACCTACGAATTGAAGTCAAGATCAGTTGTGCCGTTTGCATACTAGAGTTAGAATCGGATATGTTACTATTGCATTAGCCAAATTTGCCGTGGGCAAGACGCCCATTATTAAAATAAGCCACAGCAGAGCGGAAGTTGGTGATACTACAGGAGACAAGGCATCTGTTCGTGTATTACTGTCAGGAACGATCGCTATATCAGAAGATGAATTAACATCTGCAAACGGCGCTATCCCAACGATTGAAGGTTTTATAGATGGAAGGGCCGTGCCTCTAGAACAAATAAGCATATATACACTTCCAAACAAAAGCGGATCTCACAATGTCTATTACGGTAAGTTAGGCCGTCTGGCCGGACGGCCTAAGAGTACAGCAGTGCTGTACTACCGTATGGTTGTAGTTGAAGGACGCCTTCACATATGTAGTATAGAAGGTCAGCTATTGTCACAGTAACCAGGTAAATGGCTAAAGAGAGCCTTATACTGGAACTGGTGCGTTCTGTCAGAGTAAAGTATATTGATGATTCTTCTCTGAGCTATGTGCTTGGTAGGGGAGTAGCTATTTATGTGTAGGCCTGGACAGTAGAGCTGCCAGCCTTGATGATTGCTATGCTAACCGTAACAATGTCTTCAACTTTCACTTATGGGCTCTAGTTTCTAAACTTACCGACCCGGATGCTAGATCACGGACACTGGCACCTATCGTTCGTGATAAGATTCTTGCTATATTTTTTGTACGATCTCGACCAGAAGGTTACCCTTCAGGCGGCTTGGTCTTGGTTTAAATATATTAATTGACGGGAAAAAGGATCACTGATGTTCTCGCAACACGCAAAAGACACGCATTCTCTAGAACAAATTGGAGGCGGTTTCAGATCATTAAAAAGCAATTTTAAAATCATTCTAAGTGTTTGGTAGAGAAAACTGGAGATTACATGGAAATTTGATGGAGACCAATTCCAGCCTTTGCAAAAACAATTACTGTCTGTTGACGGTGCCTCGATTTTCAACTTTTAATTTTTCCATATATCGTCTAGAAACGGGCCCAAAAGAGGAATCGAAATCAACTCGTTTCTCCCGTATATCTTATTTCAAAGGGTATTCGATTAGGCGTAGCCAATTTTATCCTCTATTGCTATCTTTGGCTCAGCGGTGCCCTCAAGTAATCACGACAGCTTTGACCACCAAGATGGCGCTGTTGTCTACAAATTCCACTTTCTTTATGAAATTATCATAGTCCACAGTTGACCCTGCGTTTTCCAGTGTCATTCCCTCGTCCACTGAAAGCCGGGGAAGGGCGTATATAGCGGGAAAGATGCATAATTTTACCTGTCCGACGATCTCAATGCTTGGATGCGACGAACCAGTTCTTTTTGAGACATATCCATCATACGTCCAGCCATCCGACTTCATTACTTCTGAATCAAAGTCAGTACCAGGAGAGATGAAAACGGCTTGAAATGCCTTGCGGCAGAGAAGAAGGTCTGATTTGATCAATAATGAGTCCTCGAATGTACTCTGAAAAGCAGTGGCAATAGACAGTGTGGATATTTCAGTCGTTGAGCTTTCGGATTCGAGATACGTTGGCTCCTGAGGCAAACTATCTGAGCCAATTTTTAGGTAGCCAGACATAGCCGCGGAGAAATTAGACAACAACTCGCAGGCAGTGCGTTGGACAATATGCGTTTTGAAGTACGGTTCGCTTAAAAGATCTTTATGAGCGACGAGATCCACGCTCTGGAGCTCGTCTGGTCCGTCTAGAGGGCAGTGTTAGCTAAGCCAATGCTGCAGATTCTGGGTGCAAGAACCTCGAAAGCAAATCTCTTCGCGATATTTCTCCAAGAGGGGCGATTGCATCGATAAAAATGCAGGAAATTGCGATTCAAGTACAGAAATACATATACTCGCTGCGGTAAGGGACCGTAAAATATCCAAACTTGCTAGCCCAGAATGCGAAGCAAATATCGATAATTCAGATGGTGCGATTCCGATGGCCTTGTATATCAGCGACTTCCGATATTCGAACCCCAAAGAGTCTGACTCTTCAATGATATGAGTAAAGTCGAGTCTCATAACTGGACCAGACCCGTCAGTAATACTACTTTGGAGGGCGTTGAATTTATCTTTAATCTCGTCCTCAGTCGGGCCAATGGTGTCAGATCTGGCTTTGTCTGTGTAATTTCGATATTTCAGAATTCCTGCATTCTGCTTCCTGAGATTGGTGTTTGCTGTCCATAAGTCCATAAGCATTGATGGTTCATTGCCATGTAGCTCTATCCTATGACACCAGTTCTTCAGGTTACTGTATTCTTGTTGAAGTTTAGCCAAACGATTTTCTGCAGTGAAAAGACGATTCTGATGTTCCTCTATCGTTCATTCTCGCTCATCAAGCTTGTTCGTGATCCGATGGATTGTATTTTGAAGTGACTCGAGAACTTCCATATCAATCTCCACGGTCTTCTTGCTTCTCTGGACCAAAGCTCGCGTATCTGCAATTGGCATAAGGGCGGAGGACTCCAAGGTTATATCTTGACCAACCTCTTTTGCCTCACTGAGAAGTTGGTTGACCGATTGGTCATTTAAGATGGGGAGAACACCTTTAGGCAAGATAGACGTTGTAATCTCAGAGGGATATGAAACGCTTGATAGCGATTTGGCTGCCATCATGATTGCTGTATTTTGTGGGCGAGATTGAGTTTCGCCAGGGTCCATTCCCTTCTTTTCGTACAAGCGCTCAACTTCCTCGGAAATTGCAGTTTCTCTTCGTCGAGTAAACGCGGGATGCATCGCAATCCTTGCGAGTAAAGATTCGATTTCGGGCCATAGTCTCCATACATGTACCAAGCTCTTTCCAGCTTGTCTTTGCATTGCCTGTGGTTGAAATCCTTTCCAGTCGCCTCTTTCAGATGGCTGACGACCGTGCTGTGAAAGTCGATATTTGTTTGAGAGCAGAACTCAAACCATGCAAACAACTGAATGCCCGCGTGCGAGTCCCAAACCTGAGGCTTCTTTGGGCGGCCGTCTCGTACTCCAACTTTTTTTCGCTTTGGTGCCATGGTCTTTCACAATAACGCACACGCACTACGTCTCTATCAACATCGGCGTCGTTTCCGTCGACGCACACGGTTCCCTCAAGGAGTCACTACAAAATGAGACCTCGCTCGCCAGCATCAGGGCCGGTCTCCGGCAGAACAGCGTCATGGACATCTCGTTTGACGAGTTCTTCGCCAATGTCGAGTATGTCATGACTTCCCTCGCCCGGGATAACGGCTTGCACCAAAAAATTCAGGGTGTCACGCACCAGTCCATGCTGGATGCCAACAACGAGCACCTACTTGGGAATCCCATCTTCAGCCAGCTGTCCCGCGCTCAGGAGAAGATGGCTACCGGCGCCCCGCGGGCTGATAAAATGGACCTCGAAAAGGCTTTAAGGAGCGTGAAGAAGATTGAGGAGGCTGAGCAGCTCATCCGGGATGCCACACTGACCAAGTTCGCCGTCTTCCTCGACCGGTCCATCGACGAGATTAGAGTCGACCAGTCGCTGGCCACCATTGGGCTCGACTCCCTTGTCAGTATCGAGCTCAAGAATTGGATGGTACGCACGTTTCAGGTTAACTTACAGACATCTGAGTTGGGCGGCGCGGGTAGCATCATGGCGCTGGCGGCAACGGTCGCCTCGCGCTCGAAGCTAATCTCTGATATAATTCATCAACCACAGCTACAGAGAACTAGATTACCAAAGAACAGATAGATGCACCAGTGAGTGACCAGATAGAAAGCAGTCATGGCTTCTACTGTTGCAGGGCTAGCAAGGAGCTACTTAGACACCCGCTTGTCGATCTTGACGAAGCAGTTAGGGACCTCCTAAACAGTATCGGCCACTTTGCTCATACGCGGGAAGAGTTCTTAGAGTTCAGCCGCAAAGCCCATGCCCTCGCCGCACCGGGCAGTATTGGCCGCAAGCTATACAGCCAGCTCCGCGCGAAGGCAGATGACCCAAGCGTGGAGAGCTGGATCGCTGGCCCACTCCTGAAGGCGCTGCACATCAAGAGACGATATCCTTTGGCACCATTTAGCAACTTTCTTGGCACGCACTTTGACAGTGTTATTCCGCACTCGCAAGCCGAGCGAGCGGCCGTCCTTACTAGGAGCTTGTGCGAGTTTAAGCGTGACCGCGATGCTGGAAACTTGGAGCCCGATTTTCTTGGAGAGAGGCCAAATTGCGGCCACTCTCTATCGTGGTTGTTCAACGCCGTAAGAGAGCCAAACATAGGCTGTGATAAATTGAGGAGTTATCCGGGTAATGAGCACGTCGCCGTGTTGCGGAGGGGGCACCTGTTCAAGGTGCGCCTTCTGGAGGGAGACCGCATCGTCTCGTATCAAACGCTGAGGACGACGTACCAGGCCATCATTGACCTAACCCTCGAGGAAAAGTATTGGACGGGCATGCTGACCACAGACAATCGCGACAATTGGGCCACTGTAAGCCTTAGCCTGCTTTTGTATTGCTTGATAGACTAATTGTGCGCAGAACCGACAGAGGCTTCTCTCCATTGACGACATAAACGCCATGTACTTAGACACCATTGAGACATCTGTCTGCATTTTGTGCCTTGACGATGACAGTCTTGTCACACGTGAGGACCGTGTTCGCTCTGGGTACCTCGGCGACTCATTCAACCGCTGGCACGACAAGAGTCTTCAGCTTGTAGTCACCGCTAACGGTCGCTCGGGAAGCATCTTCGAGCATTCCATGATCGACTTCATGACCATCTCGCAGCTCTCTCAAAGACTGCAGAATGGCATCAATACCCTGACTCCTGGGAACTACACTCTCGACAATAAAGCCGTCGATCATGCTAGCCTGGTGGAGATCCCCTTGCTCACGACCGTAGATATTGAGGCACGTATCATTACGCTACGTAGCGAATACATAGCCGTCACAGCGGTGAAGAAATATACTTCGCACCTCATCACTTCCTACGGCAAGGCCCTCTTTCTCGCCAACTCGGCGCCTATCAAAGCAACCATGGACTTAACAATTCAACTCGCCAGCCGCTTGTACTTTGGCTATCTGCCAGCGAGCTGGGAGACTGTTTCGACAGCACACTTTCATCTGGGCCGTCCAGAGATCGTGCAGGTGGTTCTTAGGTCAGTCGTTGACTTCTGTGACGCTGCGCTCGACAACGCAGTGCCGCGACCCGAGGCACGCAACAAACTAATCCAGGCGGCGCGGGAGTGCAACGCGCAGATTGTCAAGGGAACTGAGGGTCGGAACTACTTCCGTCTCATGGACGTGCTCGAGGTGATGAGTCAGGAGCAAGAGGATGAGGAGATCCCTGAAATATTCTCTGATCCCGTTTGGAAGAGAGGTTATCCGCGGCTGATCATGCAAACGATGATGGAAACGAAGCTGGCCGAAGATCCAGGCTATACAATGGAGGACCCAGAGTCTGTGTGGATGAACTACACGGTGAATGACAATTTGTGAGTATTCCCCGCGCCATCATAACATATGTAGTTAACAGACTTTCAGTGTCGAGGTATTATTTGTCGGCGGATACCACGTCTAAAGTCTGGATCTTCACGAAGAAAGACCACCTGCCGAGCTCCTTGCACCTTGCCGCAAGTATCTCAAGATCTAACAATTCGACAATGCTTTGCCCCCAACCACCGATGAATACTTGGTGAAGGGAGCGGGGCACACCTTCAATCGTTTCGTTGAAGGGCAGCTAGATGGGCCAAGTTGTTAGTCATTGAGTTGACTATTTTAGACACCACTTACACTTTCGAATGCCGGGTTATCCGCTCCAACAAGAGCAAACTTCTTCTCCCAAAGCCACCTGGCAGATGCAGAACTGGTATCCATTCCCACAGAATATCCATCTCCGATAGGCAGCAGGACTTGCTCTGACCTGTTCAGGGTTTGATATTGTTGGATCCAGCCGGTGCGGAGAATGAGCATGCCGCCAGGTCTAGACCAATTCGTTGGAAGGCCTTGCCACTCCGCAATATAATCCAGTTCCTATGTAGTAATGGATCTTGGGGAGAAGGCATTAAAGCTCTGATTCTTTGAGTCCATCCATCTAGCGAAGTCGAGTAGTACGCTACGTACTACTATCCCCTCTTTAATCTCGGACGCTGCAGCAAGGCGAGTTGTATTGGTGATATGATTAAGAGCTCCGTACTCGTCGTCTGCTCCCCAGACACCCCAAGCGGCCTTAGTGGGGAAGTCAAATGCGCGCTGCACATATTGCAGTTGGTGTTTCAATTCCAAGAGAGATGTGCAACGGCATATCGAGACAACGCATCAGCAACGGATGTATACTTGCCCGCACTGCTTTAAAATGATGAAACACCGAGATGACAACATGGCATTTCAGGAAATATTGCAAGGTGCTTCGGTGTATGAAGAATCAATCAACAGGCGTCGAGGTGAACGGACGAGCGTGACTCTTGTGGTTTGTGTGTTGGAATACCCCTCGGTCGCTCTATCTGCTTTGAGTGACAATCCGAATCAGGTTGAGCATGGAACATCAGGAATATCAGACCACCAAATGGGAAATCTGGCTACTCTTGGGGCTTGGATATGCATATTGACCAGTGTAGGATATTGGCTAGCTATCGTGCGACCTGCAGCTCAACCCTCTGCTAAGAGGGGTAAGGGGCTGAGATGATAGAGAAGGGGGAGTTCATGTTTTGTATACCCTGTGATAAAACACCCTTTTCCTGCCATCTCAGCCCATTGTCACCTTCAGCAGGGGCTGAGTTACAGGTCGCACGATAGCTAGCCAATATCCTAAAGTTAGTCCAATAGCGCTAGTAGGTAGGATGGCATCGAGCTTGAAGCGTAGGACCTGAAGGTA